GGTAACTAGTATATCCAACTTAAGAGTTTTAACATTTAAAACAAAAAATTAACACAAAATCTAAATATAATTATATAAAATTTTCTGTAAAAGAACAACGCATGACAAAAATGGTGAAAAATCAAAATCTTGATACTTCTATGTATTAAAAATTGGTGAATATACATATATAGAACATCAATATATTATACTATAATTACTATGTCCATAGATAGTGAATATCAAATTCTTGATTACGGTAGATAAAACGCATTAGGGGTTATGTTTATACGTACTTGGACGAAAATGCGATTAGGGAGTTGTGAAACGGTCTTAAGCAGATAATCAGTGGCCCACTTGAGAGCAACAAGATTGTGTCCGATATCATTCGGAGACATGTAACTTCCGAATTCTAAAGAGCTCCAAGCAAGCATCGTAGCCGTAAAAGCCATCGGAAAATGAAACTTAACGTTGTCTCCGGCGTCGTAGTAACCACCAACGAGGTCGGTTTCGAGGTTTTCGCCGTCGTTGAGTGCAGAATTACCACGCCACGTCATCCTTTGTTGTATGGGAAGACGACCAGAGCGTTGACCTTCGAAGAAAAGGATTGACTTTCTAAGGGCATCGGAGTAGTCGTGAGGCATCGCCGTTGGTAAAAGGAGAACTATGAAAACGGTTAAAAAGTAAACCGAGGGCTTCATTTTTTTTTATGATTAGGACTAAAGAGATTTTTTTTTGTTGGCGTTTAGTATTGGGGACTTAGGGTTCATATTTATTTATAGAGCCTATAACTTCTGGTTCACGTCTAGGTATTTGGTTAATTTGGTAAGTTACCAATACGTATTGGTTTGGTAAGTATCCATGCATGTATAAATTAAATATCCACAATGGTAATGGCCAAGATTTCTTTTAGTTATATACCTCAAATTCTCTATTGTTTACAAGGAAATATTATAATCCATTATCCTAACATTTATTTCATAACTGAATTTAGATAGATTTGTTTTTTTTTTTTTTAACATCACTGAATTTAGATAGATATCTTTAAATTCATTCATGTTTATTAGAAGTTTTATTTGTTTCTTATTTAAATCATTTTAAAGACAGAAAGTTATCTAGTGATAGAAATTATAAAGATTTGGTAGAATTAATCATCTCTTTTTTTCATAGTGCTAGCTGTGGTATATTTTTCCCACATTTGTTTTTCCTTTCTATGTTTATATAACTAGAAATTCTCCAAATGCTAACATTTTGCGAAGAGGTGAAATAAGAAATAGATTCATATAAATTAGAGGGAAGGATTTTAAAAAATCATGAATTTGCAGGCATAAGAGGAAATGTGAGGGTAACAGGAATGAAATCTGAATGTTTTTTTCCTAGAAGAACTCTTATTTGTTATGAACTTTGTGTGGTTTTGTTAAGTTTATTTTCAAAAACAAAAATATTTGGGTTTTGGCATGTAAATGTTAACAGTTAAATTTCAAAATACCCATTTTCAGTTTTGTTCCACAAGAATAAACTTCAGTCCAAAGTTCCAAACCAATATATTTCCCATACTATAACTAAAAAATCATGGATGGACTTATCATGCTTACAAAAACGAATTATGTAAGGAAACTTTTTGAACTTTGCTGAAACTGCATGTGTACTATAACTTTATCTATTTTCTGTTTTAAGACTCTTGTTAAGCAAACTACACACTTACAGTATTTTGTTCTGGACCATACTCTTTTATGTCTCTACACAATGACTACCTTGTTCTGTTAACTTATTGTATGATTATATTTTATACTTTAATCTAGAAAGCACATGTTTGCTCATTTCTATCACATCATCTTTTGTTGAAGTTTACTCAATTGTCGCGTTATATATTCTTTTAAAAATTCACAATTTCAAGCATATCCAAACTGAAGCAATTTCTTTTTAAAAATATTACTCAGATTAGTATTAATTGGGTACATTACATTTATTATTATCTATGACCAACCGCTATTATTAGTTTTGGTTGCAGGGTTTTCGATTATTTTCCTGTTATTTTATGAAATCCAATTATCATAATTTGTTGACTATAGTTGTATCAAACAATCATTTGTACAATCATAGACCTATAAAATATATTACGGAATGTTTATTATCATTACAAAGCAAGTACGGACACACAACAAACCAAAAGAAAATTGTATTAACACTACTCATGTTGATTAGTATGTTTTTGTCAACATCCTCAAGTTATTATTAAATGTGCATATATATGGCGATGCAACACACACAGAGACAAAATTACATAATAATTCATGTCAATTCGTCATGTTAGTTCACACCATAATCGATTTCTACTTGAGCAACGTTCTTCTTAGGAAATTCATGATATATCGTAGTAGACTCCCAAATTAATTTGGTTCTTAAATCTCTTGGTTAACAAAAATAAATAAATTCGTATCCATGTTTCTTAGCAACCATTATATATGTATACTTATGAATAGACTATTCATTACATTTGTTGAAATAAAAATAAAAGAAGTAACCAAAGTAATTAATCCGAATGAGATATTCAGATTTAAATTTTCTTTTAAAAAATTCTTAACTAGATAAAGCTTTTTCTTGCTTTGCTTCGTTTCTGCAAGATGAGAGACTTCTAAAAAACCGTACTCCCATGCTCATGGAACTTGTTTTTCCAATTTTATCCCGAAGGACGTCAGCTAAAACCAGGATTGGCTGCAAAGTAAGCCAATACACCAACAAAAGGAGCATTGATGTAAGTGGTGGGTTCGGACTTGCGAAAATCGGACCGGTCATCATCATACTTATCGTCCTCTCCGGGTCCACCTACCACCGCTCCAATCAAAACGTTCGGGTTTGGTTCGGTCGAGTTGAAATAAACCGACCCGTCTTTGCACCCGATGGCTCCTGGATGATCCACGATTGACGGCAATGATGAGCCACGGTGGTGGATCCTCTTTGGATACCTTTCTCCGTACCCGACCATGTACGATAGTCCCATCGGATTATCCCCCAAAATATAGTCCACCTTCATTTGCCAATAAATAAAATAAAATATTAAAATTACAGAAATGATGATTTTTAGTAAAATAAATCAATCGAAGAAACATTACATAATATCAATAACATTGTGATCGTAAAAATAAGAAAAGAAAAAACTGCTTAACAGCTTGGTATAATCTTTAGATAAAAAATAATAATGAAACTACGTATAAAACCGTAAATTGATTAGAAAAGTGATATAATTGCATAAGAGTTAAACAAATTATAATTATTAATTCCACATAATTGTCTGATTGATAAAAAATCGCAGACCATGTGTTACTATTCCAAACTTCTCTGGTTATCTTATCTAACAAGAAAAAGAAACCATAATAATCTAGAAATGATCCTTTTGCATCAAGCACGAGATTTGAATTTGTATTTCCTTTGCTTTCACGCATGCTATAAAGTCCGGTTTAAGTGACTCATCAGCGAAAAAAAATGAGATAACAACCAATCACTAGAAAACTTGAACCAAACCAATTTAAACCGGTCTAACCTGTTTCTTGGCAAGACGTCGGAGATAATCAGGAGGGACGGTGAGGCTACCGCAATTGAGGGAAAGGGAGGTTTTTGAAAGATACTGAGCATAGACAAGGAGAAGGAATGATATGGTGGTCGCGTGCTGAAGCTGGCTACCGCCGGGCTTGTAGAGGAGACCGCCGGGGGTATACTCCACGTGCACTCCCGGCGACTCCGGCACAAGACTACAAATGAAGCTCTCTGCCGACGCTTTGTACGCCTCTAAGTTGTACATATTCCCTTCTATCACTTCCTATACCAAAAACTAAATTAAAAATCCAATTTCATTGGGTTTAAGTGGATCATACCACGGTTTGTTTCTTAACCGGGTCACTTTATATTCACGTATACGGAAAGAAAAGAACATAACACGTGCATGACTTGTGTTTCTATTTACTTTACTAGGGTCTAGAACTAACTAAGGTTTAATTTCGACTTGATCAGATCATATGTAACTTTTGAGGTTATAATATAAATTTGGATCTAACCTTTGAAACGAGAACATTAAGTCCACCAACTTTATTGTCCCAACCAAATTCGTCGACGTTCTCGCTAGCACCAAACGGTTCACGGTTACTCTCAATGTAGTTAAGGTAACTTTCATCACCGGTCGCTTTTCTTAGCCAAGCTGCTCCCCACAATAACTCATCCTACCAATACCAAAAATAGAAAGAAAACAAAATCATTAAAAGAAATCACCAAGAAAATTTAATTAGCTTTTAATGATAAAATATTTTATCAAGATTGTATAAATATATTGCGTACTAACTTTTTTCAACCAAGTGATACAAATATTGAACCTTATTTTTACCTGAAATCCATTGAAATCGCAGTAAAAAGGACAAACGTCGTTTTTGATATCCTCATTGCTGCTATAAGCACCACGGTACATATCAGCGAACTGAAATGATTTAATAGCGTTTTGGAGCAATGTTTGAGAATATCCTGGATCTGATGATCTAAAAGCGATTGAAGCGGCCGAGAGAGCGGCTGTGGTTTCACCGGCGACTTCAGAAGCCGGATTAGGGGCGTTTACAGCGTAAGCAGTCCGTGGTGTATCCATATCTTCAGGTCTTTCCCAGCAATTATGATCTGCTATTGGATCACCTACCTATCACAAGTTTTTTTCTATTTTAATTAGTTTGCATATAATTAATAATATCCAAACCCTCTGCATAGAAAGAATTATAAATAAAGGTCTAATTATTAGTGAATACATAAAGAAATAAGCCTAACAACGTCAACATCATATTTTAAATCTGATTCTCCAATATTGGAACAAAGAGAATTGAACGATTCTGATAAAGAAGTCTCTATCGCATCTCAACTCGTATATATTATGATGTAACGACCATTGAATCAATGTTGATAAATTCTATACTCAAATTCACTATTAGTATATTGTATAGGTACGTGTTATTGAATTCTCAAATCCTATAATCAATTCACTAATAGTATATTTTCTAGGTGTACCGTGTATTATTGAATTCTCATTATCCATTGGTTACATTTATAGTCAACAAAATTTATTGGTGTAGGTTCC